TATCGTATTTATTTTCATCCCCATAGTGTTGAGTATGGTTATTTCATACAATTTTAAGTTCAAAAGAGTGCAGTTTTTTTCTGGCCTTCAGCTATGAATGAACTCTAAAGTACAAGTATGGATACTCGAAAGCATAGCATAAATCTGTTCATTCATCACGTTATTAAATTTGTGGATGTTATATTTAAACCTGTGTATTTGCACAGGTAAGTATACACGTTCGAGGATACAGTAGATTAGAGCTGCGTTTCACTTTCGACTTCAAATATACCGTTTATTCGATTTTCTTCACTTCAACAAGTCGCCGTATATTTATCTTTTGATATATCTGTGCCATTTGACATGTTAGCAACTCAGAACACTAACAAGCCGCCATATACCCTCAGCCAAGCCTCTCACTTTATGGCCATCATCGTGAGGAGCTTCGGTGCACTATCCTTTTTACGTCTATAAGCTACAACGCGCTCGGATTTTATTTGCACCGAGCTTCGCAATTCCTCTATGTAAATAATATCCAAGGCGTGATCGTAAAACATCAAAGCCACTCGTACAAATTTGCTTACCTTGATGGGGATTAGCGATGCGGTTCGTGTCGTTGGCAAGATCAACTTGGTGTGTTTACTGCTAGCCTAACCCAACATCGACAGATCTACCAAATGCTCATGACGAATTAGTGCTCTGGCACCCTTACCTCTATCGAAAGTTACACAAAAACTGTGCTGATATCATAGGCTATTTCAAATTCCGTCGATCAACAACATACGAATACTGACATATCAGGCCCGACTATAGGAAGTTTCCGCTGCCCCACTCACAACGTGTTGTGTCGAGGCAGCTAAAATGATTTCAGTGACGTCTGTCCAGATATGTAGCTCCATCAGCACGTGTATTGAGGTTGGTCATATCACCCAAGTGCGATTTTCGATAAAATCATTCTTAGCTGAGATTATGGCTTAGACATTTACTGATTTAAGTGTCAGCCAATACCTGTACCCGCCAACGTAGGGCACTTTGATACACATTCGTTTCTATTTCCAGAGATCCGTTCCATATCACACTGCGTACGACAACGCTGATTCTAAACGTCCTTTTGAACAATGTCAACCTTTTCAAGGACATTACTTCAAGTCGAGCGCACGAAAACCTGCACCACCCAAGAAATTCTAACGTCGAACAAGGACCGGAAACCATCATGAATAGAAATCGGGCTTATGTAGATGTGGTGCACACTATGTGGGACTTGTGATGACAGACACCATTTATGGACTGAAATATTATAATTACTTCAGCTCACCGACAATATGATGGACTTGATATTGTAAAAATGACAAAAAAATACCGACTGGTGTTGAGTATGTAACGTTTGACTTGACAACGTTGACCCTTCCTTGTTGATGGTCCCTCACGAAACTACACGACGTAAATTTGATTATACTTTTTGCAAATGAAGAGTGGTTTAAGACTCATCTTTCATTAATAAACTAATACCCCAATATAGCCTTTTTTTACCAAACATGAGAGTGACTATCTTTACTATGACAGGTACAAAAGCAATATACCGACTTGAGCTATACGAGCCACATAGGCGGTACTTTTCTTTTTCACGCTATCAGATAAGAAGCATCGATTTATAGGGGACGCAGAAGTATTGCGAATGATACCTTTCTACTTTCAACAAGATAAAAACACCGAGTCCTAAGTCTGTTTTGCAAGAAGCGAGCCTGCAGACGCCCACGACCTACATGATACATTTAAATAGTACAGTATGCAAAATAACCAATACCTCTGATAGATATCATTCCCGTATCCCAGCCAAAGAACCCACAACAACCGCGTACGATTCAAAAGAGAATTTTCGAGCTTTTTTTCATTCTTTTATTCGGCACAAAGTGCTTCTGTTATTCGTCGATTAACTTGTCTATACCCGACATGTATCCTGGAGAAACATTATCAAACCCAGGAGGTGGCAGAACCGGGGAGGAACCGTCTCTCACGGCACCTCGTATATCTGTAAAAGTAGTTGTACTATGGTTAGTAAAACAAGACTCATATTCTGATATGATTCTTGCACGCTCACTTTATATACATCCATCCATCCATCCATCCATACACACACATATATATAATATAATATAATATACATGCATACAAACATATATATTCATCCATGCACACACACACACATACACATCACATTAACTGTATACAATAAAAATCAGAACAAAAAAATTCTGCTGGCTGAAAGGCAAAGTAGACGTACAGATTGCTATACCTACCAAACTTCTAAACTATCATACCGAAGTCGCTCCGACGATCTTCTGACGCTGGCCAGCCGCCATTGCCACCAATTCCCGTCTGCTTATTCGACTGGTCTGACGGAAAGTACGACCCTCCCCATGGCATACCAAATGCTTGCTGCGATTGGCGTTGGGGGACAAAACGTGAGTCGTTCACATCGCCGCCGTACTGCTGATTCATACCAGACGGATCCGCACCCCACACACCTCCCATGGGCTTGGCCCGAGAGTCGTACAGCTGTTGCTGTGGGTGTTGATGTTGCTGTGGGTGATGTTGTGGGTGTAGCCCAGGTGGCATATTCAGTCCCAAGGGACCGTTCCCAGGATTATCGAAGAGATTGCCTCTCTGTTGCCGTCCAGATAATTGTGGAGGTGGTGGAGGTTGGCCGAACCCGGGCGGCGGCCTGTGTTGGGGCTGCTGCCGTCTGTTGTGGTGATGAGGCGGTTCGTTGCTCTCGTTCCATATCCCACCGCTGTTACTAATGTTGTCGCTGGGCCACCCGTCGCCAGACTTTGCACCGTTGATACCATAGTCTCCAATCTTGCTGCTAAGTTGTTGTTGTTGCTGTTGGTGATGTTGCTGTTGTGATTGTTGCTGCTGCTGCAGGTGCAGACCAGCACCTGGCCTATGGAACATCTCACGATTCTCCTGGCGACCAAACGATGGATGCATATTGAGCCCCTGGCTATCTTGCATCATTGACACACCGGGAGGAGGCGGATGGAAACTTCCGGAGTTATTGAATCCAATGTTATTATTGCTTCTATGCGTATTGGAGTTTATACCACCGGGAGAGTAGTTGTGATCGTACATGCGGCTTATCTGCTCGTCGTTGTTCTGTATTTGCCTGGATGGGATAGCGTGCTGAAGCCCGGGCGGCGGGGGTGGGGGTGGGGGTGGGGGCGGGGGCGCCTGTTGTTGTGACTGTGAGTGCTGACTAATACTACCAGGCTGTGTTGGCCTGTTTCCGTAACTTGTTTGAGGTTGGCGTTGTTGTATATGCTGTGCGTGCCCTTGGCGCGGCAAACCGGAAGTGGGCGGCTGGTCAAATCCTCGGCTCGAGCTCGGCGGTGGTGGTGGCAGACTCGACGTCGTACCGGAACTTCCTCGTATGTCAAAGTGGGAGTCCTGTGTGGACAGGAAGGATTGGTGCAGCTCGCCTCGGTTATTGTGTAGGAGGGAGGAATAAGGCGAATCGCTCATGCCCCATGTAGAACTGTTTAAGCTATGCTGCGTGTTGGGTAACGAGCTCTGGCCAGGACCATCGAATCCGTTGTCCCACATGGACTGGCCTCGCAGATGCGGTGTTCCTATTTCCAGCGGTTGTGGTTGGTCAATCGGATCGCTGGATAAGCCTCCTCTCTGTGTTTGTTGTGCGCTTTGTTCCTGGAAGTAAAAAAAAACAAGTGTAGAAATAACAAATTATACATACTGAGATACATTATTTCTCAGGACTATTATTTCTGTTAAGCAATAAAACAGCACATGAAAAAGGAAGTATTGAAAAGTGTGATATACCAAACTCACCGGATTGCCGACGGAGAACGAGATGTTGACCCCCGGGAACAGTGAACGCAGGTTATCCTGCCATTGCCGGGCATTACCCGTGCCGTGTGCCTGACTTCCATTTTCAGGCGTAGTTGCCCCAAGAGCACTCATTTCCGACTCACCACCCAAAGCTAATCCAGGTGGCGCCGAAACCCCACTGCCACCACTGCTTCTCTCACCAAGACCCGAGGGAAAGCGCAACGCATCCGCTCCTAATCCCGAGGGTGTCATTCGCTTATCGTCATCCCAGTTTGCACCGGCGAATTTGCTTTCAGCGAGATCACTAGCACTGGCTACAGGGCCCGTTAAGCTACTTTGGTTCTTTGGACGAGAAGCCTCGTGATCTAGACCGAATTCCGTCAAACTGCCAAAGCTTGTGGCGGTCTCGTCTCGCATATCACCCAATCCCGGGGGAGCACCAAGGCCACGCGGAGGCAATCCAAACGCCTGTAATATGGGAGCATGCAATGTTTAGAGAAATATAATCAATCTTGCGTGAAAGGGAGCAAGAGTGGAGGAGCGTCACCTACACTACGTAGGATGGCGGTTACCTAGATGTACTTGAACAGCAACAGACCCAGAAGATATTTTGCAACGGCGTTCACTATTGAATTGTACAAACACATCCCCTCCTCCCCCCAAAAAAATACACAGCGTAAGAAAACGTACCGAAGTGCCTTTCTTAGGATCACTCAAGGACATCGAACTGAAGAACGACGACGCAAATTCGCCCCCTTCGTCTTCGTCGCGATTACCGAATGCAAACCTCGATCCGCCTCCGCCTATCGATGTCGAACTCAAACTGCCTGGGGCGCTACCAATATCTCCTGGGCGATGGCTTGTAGTGCCAGCATCACTCGCTTCGCTATCTGCATCGGGTGCCCCAGGCATCCGCACTAAACCAGGTGGCCCGCGTCCGATAATAGGACCGACGCCCGAGTGCGAAAACATGGACGAGTTATTATTTGAGATACCGGGCAGTGCAGAGTATGTGTGCTTGAGCTCAGCATGTTCAGCCGTGAACAGTCCAGGAGGTGCCGTCTCACTGGCAGATCCAACCAACGGTGCTTTCCTTTGAACGTCACTTTCCCCAGTTTCCACCGCAGAAGCGGGTTGGCTGTTGCTGACATTCGTATTTTTCTCAGTCTTCACAGGAGTGGTCGTGGTTTCAGCTTTATTCTTTCCGGCTGCAGATGATTTTAGTTTCTCCGATGTCGCTGGTTCGTCCCTATCGGGCTTTGTCGCCGTGCGCGTATCTATCGATTGTGTTGTTGATACCGAGGTGGTATTCGATACACTGGGAACCTCAGCCAGAGCCACCGCGGGTGACGTTGGTACAGACACTGGCGAAGCTGGGCGAGCCTTGGACGTGGCGGCAGCTTTGCGGCCTGTACTGCTGGTTGTCTTGTTGGTTGCCTTGACTTCAGTCGCTTTAGTCCCTGGGCCACTCGCGTTCGCATCAGTGCTGACAGTGGCGGGTCCGTTGGTACTGTGGGGATTGTCGCCATCTCTCTCATCCCAGTTGTCGGGTATAGGATCCTCGACTGATTGTGGGGGTGTACTTGGTGCCTGCGCTCCGCTAGCGGGCGGACTAATTGCAGAAACCTGCTTTGCGTTCTTGGATATCCTAGGCGACTTCTTGTTCATGTGCACTGGGGTGGGCTGTTGGGTAGTGACGGGTGTACTCGCAGCACTTCCCGTATCGCCCTGGTTCCATGTGGCGTCTTTACTCGCCCCCGGCCATTGTGTAGTTGCCTGAATAGTAACAAGTCAAGAAGGGTACGGAATGCCGCGCATGAGCAAAGCAGGCCCGAAGAAGCAATCGCGGTCACGATAATCTTGTTCACTGTTCTGGCCGTAGTTGAAATGGCATTTTCCGCAAAAAAGAAACAAAACAGAACAACAACTGCAACCACCTAGACAAAAGTCTCTTGAATAACCTTGCACATATCATGTAGTACGTATAGCACATACCTTCCGAACACTGTTACCATGGGGAGGTGTGACGTAATCATCACTCGGATGAGCAATTTCTTTCATCAAGCTCAGCGCGGGCGCAGGCATAAGACTTATGTGAGCACCAGCCGCTGGTTTCTTGGCCCTGTGATTTAAAGGGAGAGCATGGCATATCAGAAAGGTGCAGCAATACAATTAAGAGCCCCGGCTGGATACGACTCGAGATTGAAATTGAATACAAAAGCTCACAGACTGTCCACAACAAACGGATGTCCCAAAGCTTTGGTATCTTGTTTGCTAAGATGTGATTGCTTGATTCGATCCCCCAGAAATCACGTCACTCTTCATCCATAGGAATGACAGCACAGAGCCCACATAAACAGTATGCGTGCAAGGGAAAAATTAGCAAGCCTACATGTGAGGAATATTGCACCGAAGAGCTACAATTCACGCACCAGGATGCATTAGCGGGTAACGCAGACGCATTGGGATTCCTTGGCTTCGTAGAGACAACTTTCTTCATTACAGCACCGTTCTGCACCGGAGTAGCAACACGAGTAGGACTGGGAGATCGGCTGTGATCATAATCTGATCGCTGCGGAAATCCCTTCCTGTTATACAAACGTGCAATATGAGCTTATTTAGTAAATGGCGAACGGGTACATTGAATGAGGTACTCTAGAGATAACGTAAAAAGAGATGCGAGTACGTAGAAGTACACCTACACTTACTTACTTACACACATACACATGCAGATGTAATGTATATATATATGTATATTTAACTATCTATATACATATATATATATGAAATAGATACATTCACATTGACGCATACACAGCTATACGTATACATACATACACACATATATACATATACGGCTGCACGTTCCCGCATGTATATACATATATATATATGTACATATTTATGAAATAGATACATTCACATTGACGCACATACTTATACATATACACACATCTTTATATATGGATATCTGTATGGGTGTATTAATATATTTATGCGTATATGCGTATATACATATATATAAATATATACGAGTGCACGTTCCCACATTTATATACATAATGCATATCATTTAATATAGATCAGCAACAATGACGAGAAATAATTAAAATAAGATAGAACGTAAACTGCCGCGAGATTTCATGGCACACACACGCAAAACTTACGCTTCTGACGATCAAACACGTAAGCAAACAGATACGATGTGCACTTCAAAAAGTGCAATGCCGTGCCTACCTGCTAGTCTGCAACATAAAAAAAAGACCCCTATTCTTGCAACATACGACACACGGACAGTAAAGTATATATGCATCCGCGCAAAGTGAGCTGGTGACATACATTTCTTCTTTGGTAAAACTGTCCACCGTCTCTCCCACTTCGTGTAGATACATGCAATCGGGATTTGGACACGCAACATGCTTCAAGAAATACGAGCAGTATTTCGTAGTTCCGAATGATGCCCTGCGAAGATGTGGTATTCAAATCTTAGTAACAGAGCCTTCGTACGCGATACACGCTCTAAAGCAGGAGCAAATGGTATGTATGTCATTTGGCCCTGCTTTACAACTTCAAACAGAGGGGGAGTCTGCAACGTACAGAACATTATACGAAGTATCAGCACATATCTTAGAGCAGAGTGAATGTACAACTCCAACCACGAGTTATAAACGTTTACACCGAAAACGATAACCGAGTCTGCGGCCTATACTCCAGATACAACACGGAGATATCTGAACTCAATATGTGATTGTGCGTAGTTGGTAGTGAAGAAAAAAACTAAACAAATAAATAAAACCACGCCAGTCTATCGGAACACAGACGGGTATGTTGGAATCATACACATGGCCATATTTGAGGTATTCACAGCCGAACAAGGACGTGTCCGCGTTACACGATAACACAATTTTTCAGTATACTTAGCGTGCCCGAATTGGTAGAGCTTTTCGCGGCCAGGAAAATCAATACACCAAACTCTTCTCAAGCAACGAATGCACACGACCGCAACGTACCGTACGACTCTGTTGTCAACCATCAAACCATCCACAGCCCGAATCACGTCTTGGGCATCCTCTTTTCGCTGATAGGTGATGTACGCACTTGCACTGGGCCCATGCGAGCCATTGTATAAGGATCCTTTATTCACAACGACCTTCATAATTTTTCCTGCCGAGGGGACGGAACGAGAGATGCGGCGACACCAGACGGTTAGATGTCAGGTATCCGTACACCGTTTTGGAAATAAATATAACTTTTTTCCATGGTATAGATTGAGATATAAATATAATATAACACCTCATAACGGTGCAAACAATGGCACCCGAAAATGTCCCCTTGATACAATAAAAATTGTCGTTTTCAAGGATTTAATTTGAGTCTTATCTATCATTGACATACTTACACACGCACATGCACGGACTAGCACAGATACATATGAATATACAAATAGATAAAAGAATCGCTCACCATATTGACCGAAATAATCATTCTTGCGTATCACAGACTCGTCTGCTAGGCGGGGTGACAGCCCTATGACGTAGACCAGATTAGGTTGGACCACGCGCACATTGGCTAAGTTTTTACGGTGGTCATTGTCCCGGGGCTTCCGCTCGTGTGCCTTCCTTTGCTTCTCTTTCGCGCGTGCACTGTGGCATCATAGTTGGAGTCAAGGAACGCAATTTCAGAATAGATGTATACTGTAATGGGCATGGGGTAGTTCCCAACAAAACAGTAGAATAGTCGGTGGAGGCCATGCACTAGTTCAGCTTTAAAATGATAACTCGATATTTCTTGATTACTATATAACCAAGTAGGACGCTCCTGAACATTCGTGTTTATATGTAAGCGATTGTATAGGTTTATTTTCTAGCACCAAATAAGTACAACACGGACGAAAGTGCATACACACAAATTGTTGTATATAGATCTATAATTGCATACTGAGGAAAATTTGGACCACCATAAACAACTTTTCGATAGATACGTAAGTTCGTAGATAAATAAATGTCCATATATTCTTTTTGTTTGTGTACGAACTATACACACAAAACACAACAAGCACACGCATATGTATATAAATATATAAAACAGGTATATATATAGATGCAAGTGTTTACGTATATCTATATATATCTATGAATATACCAATATATGTATACATACATACATACATATATGCATACATACACTTATGCATATCTGCCTATCAATATATCTGTTTAGATACATTCTGCTGCATATGTGTAACATATGCAATATTTCACTTAAATGAGAACAAACGTAGCAATAAACTGAAAGCAACTGGTCTGAAAAAACAACAACATAGTAAATACATTCGAGTGATACATTGACATCCATATATGTATATATATATATATTCTTTACGGTTCTGAAAGTATTAACATTTGAATTGAAGTCAGAAGAGTGAATAAGAATATGATGTGTACCGACACATGTTCACCATCAGACTTATACAAGTAGAACAATATAATAACAAATAGACGCGCATACATGCACATTTATGCAAGCATGTGCACAAACACTAGAATGCCTTTATAATCTAATATAAACGTGATTTTATTATTATGTCTTAATCAATATAGATACAGGTAGAAGTAAAAATATACAGATGAACATAAACATGTGCGTATACATATTCATAAATTACATATCTGGACATTTAGAAAATCGATATATACATACATAAATCAACATTTGCGAGAGCCCTTATAATCACGAAATAAGCAAAACACACACACACACACACACTCACATAAGAATATATATATATAAATATAAATTTAAAAACCACAAATAGAAAAGTACAATAAATATGTATAAACAGATTTATAAGACATGAGGTCTGAATAAATAAACATGGTATAAATATAGTAATATATTTTGTGTTAATATACTGATAAAATAATATGTTATTACATTTGAATCCATACACAGATATTATACTTATATTTATATAAGTATATGAAAACGCATAAAAATTGTACATCCATAGAAATATACGCATGAAAAAAGTATACACTTATATATATATATATATATATAGTAGTCTGTGTGTTGTTATTATGCGTGT